ATCATATAAAAGACTACAAGTTTTGCTCCACGTTTATTTAGGCTATTATATAAAAAATAAAGGCATAACAAAACAAATGAGTAAAATTAAAAATAAAAAAAAAAGATAAAGATTGGATTAAAAAAGTAACTTAATTCCTAATCAATGATTGATCATGCATCACGTTATTAATGTTAATATAATAATAATGTTCGAGTATGAGTGCATGGAAACTGAATTGTGTTCAGCAAAAGAGGAACTTAGCTCCTTGGGAACCATGATGGATACACAAGAAAAATATAAAAAAAAGACCTTGGAATACATATTTATAAGTTTTTTTTTGTGAGCTATATATTTTATTAAAGCAATTTCGTCAAACAACATGACAAGTACACAAAACTTCCTTCTAACAAATTTCATGCATATTTCTTGATTCGCATTATTATTATTAATTTTTTAAATGTGTTCGAAAATCGATTCGCATTATTATTATTACTATTACTTTTACTATGCTCCAATTATCCAGTTAATCGGGCGTTGAAAATTTTTCAACGATTAATTGATGAATGATCGGTGGTGGCATGGAATAATTTTAATACAGTACATGTAAATAGATAACATCCTATTTTATCTCCACAGACTTCAGAATTTAGATGAAGATATTCAGCAGTGAGGCTCCGAACAAATCGAATTTTAAAGTGATTCGATTCGGCTCGATTCGAATTCAAACCGGATACAACCCACTAATTACATGCATAATTTTAATAATAGAAAAAAAAAAATTTCTCGTTATAGAAGAAATCACAGATTATTCATTATTTTATTGGAATTTTCACAAGCTCCTTGTTTTTTTTGACTAATGAAAAAAAATAATCTTTCATACTTTCTCTGTCATGACTAGAATTAGCAATAGTGTCATTAAGTATTTCACTATAAATTTTATATACAAAATTCTCTCTTTCTAGTGATAACGATGATAATAGTTTAGCATGTAGCATTATAAAATATAAAAATATAAAATTCGACTTGTTTTTAATGAATGTGGAATTTTTTTTGTGAATAACGATTACATTATTTTAACATATATAAAAGAAGAAAAGGTTTCCGTGTTACGGTGCCCTACTAAATGTCGTAATTTTTGTGTATATTTTTTATATTTTGTGTAATATTTCCCCTTTTTTTTCTTATTTTTTGTATGTTACCCAATTTGAAATATTTGGTTGCACGGGAAATAATTCTTTGTAAAGAATATTCAGTTACAATACGAATATTCAGTTACAATACGAATATTCTAAACGTCCTGTTTCTCAACTTTAGTAAACTGAATTTTTGGGGAAGGATGAGATCAAAATCAAAGGGTAAAACTTTGTGATGAGTCGT